AAATTTCCTTTTATAGATTCGGAGAGAATTTGCCTGTGTCTTGACTTTCTTACCTTGTTTAATTCTGCATTCTCACAGGTTCCAAAGAAAATGAATAAAAATAATAATGCATTAGGAAGAACAAACTAAAGGAGGCTGTGATCACTTTTAATTATGTTATGAACAATGGAGAAAATATGTGACCCAAAATTTTTATTAGAAATTTAAGTGAAATTTACTGTCCTATGGGTGATATTTTAAGAATTTTTGACTACACATAAGAATGGCCATATAGTGTCTCCTTTAATTCAAGAAGTTTTCCCTTTAGAAAAGAGACAATCTGTTTAAATCATATTTTCTGTCAAAGTAGTTTTGTCAAAACAATATGGATTGTGTCTCAAAATTTCTTTAAAATGATTTTCATTTCACAGAAGGGTACACTATGTACATTGTAAAAGCCCAATAAATTAGAAAGTGATATTAACCTGCACACACTTAAAGGAGTACTATCTAGTAGTCTTACCAGGATATTAGATGATGCTTTTCAGCAAATAAGTTTATGTTTGACTCTGGTATTAAGCAAAATCAGTGTGGCTAGCTATCCTTCTTCCAAAAGTAGTTCTTACTGGTTAATTAGGAAGAAAATAATTCAAGCCACTTACACATTAAACACTAAAGGAACTTACTTTATAAATGCCTGGTTTCTTGAAAACGAAGTATCTCGCAATTGTGAATGGATAATTACAAAGTACAGCTCTCTCTGTTTAGGTATTAGTTTGTGAGAGTCAAGATGAGGATTCGTTTTTGTTTTTGTTTTTGTTTTTCTCAGTCCCAGGATTGAGCCTAGGGCCTGGTGTATGCAAGGCAAGTGCTCTCTACCGCTGAGCTACACTCCCAGCTCCCAGATGAGGATTTTTGGTTCCTGAGAAATTTGTTCCCCAAAGCCCTCAGGCTGAGGAAAGACACAGCTAAATTTAGATGAGAGTTATGAGTGTCTACGCTGTTGTGTGTACTGTGAATATCCAGTGGCTAAAACCCCCAGTGTTAAGCATGGGCTAAAGCACAAATCTAAATATCTCCCAGATATTTTTGGAGATCTTAATAGGTATGTTATAAGCAAAAATTTAAAACTAGCTTTGTGGCCAGTGGTTTTCAAGACACCAGTGTCTCCAAGATTGAATGTCTAGCAGCACAACAAAAGCTCTCAAAGGCTCACAGTACGTGCTGCCTGCATAGCTGAAGCATCTCTCAAGCTTATTTGAGGACTACCTCTTTGATTTGCCCTTCCAAAACATTTAACCTAAGACTAATCATGAAAAAAAAATCAGGCAAATTAAAATAACGTGATATCCTACAGTTTATCTGAACTGCAGGGGTTGTCCTACAGTTTATCTGAACCGCAGGGATTTAGCTCAGCAGCACAGCACCCGCCTGGCAAGCACAAGGTCATGAGTTCGATTCCCGGTACGGGAAAAACAAAAACAAAAAAAGAAAAGAAACCACCCTAAATATCTGAACTGCATTCCTCGAAACTGAAAGTCAAAGTCATAGAAGAACTGAAAGAGGCCTGGTGTGGTGGCGCATACTTGTAATCCCAGCACTTGGGAGGCTGAAGCAGGAGGATTGTTGGGAGTTTGAGACCAGCCTGTGCTACAAAGTGAGTTCAAGGTCAGCTTGAACTACATAGTGAAACCGTCTCAAAGAGACAAACAAAACAACAACAAAAAAAGAACTGAAAGAGACATGAAAACTAAAGGTAATGTAATACCCTAAGTGAGATCCTAAAATGAATCAAAAGAACATTAGGTTAAAAATTAAGGTGATCTAAATAAATGATAAGCACTAGCTAATAATAGTTAGTAATAATGTGTCCATATTGGTTCATTAATTATAATAAGTGTACCATGCTCATGTAAGATGTTCAAAATAAGGGAAAGTATGTGCAGTGGGCTCATGGGAACTCTTAATAGTTGCTCAGTTTTTCTGTAAATCTAAAACTATCCTAGAACTATAATATCTATTATCTTTTTAAAAGCACACTAAGAAGATGTGTGCTTATATGAAAAGTTTCCTATTTAAGGAAACTTAAATTGGAACACATAAAAATATAGAAATTCTAATTCTGGTTAAGGAGTAGTAAAGAAATTGAGGCATGTAATGGTCCAGATGCTGAAGGCACATCTATCAAAATAATGTGATTGAGAAGCTTGCAATTTGAATCTGGGTTGTTTCTTCCATTCCCTAGACATATAAGATACTGACAGCTCAAGAAAAGCAATATTTGGACTCTCATGTCAGGTCTTCCAGTATTTGACCAGGGACAATAGGAGAATGTGTTGATGATCATTGCGGAATCGTCTTTATAAAAGATGGAGCTCATCATTCATAGGTATACATGAAGCGGTTGATTCTGAAGATCCGTTCTTTGACTCAGGCTTTTTCTGGGACACGTGTCAGTGCTATCTTGCTGTGTTTGTCAGGGTGTTTATGTACTATCTGGGGGCAAATGTATAAGAAACTTTCACTATTGTACTTGACCAACTTTTCAAGCTCCTATTACCTGGCTAACAAATCCAGAAAAACTATTTACATGTTTATACCTAATGACCAGTAGTAGCATAACTAACAGTGTAATTGTAAAAACAGCAAATGTAATAAATATCATTTATTGGGCATAGCAGGGGCTGTGTTGTTTTAACTTTGTAACAACCCATCTTAGTCACTTTTTCATTGCTGGGACCAAATACCCGACACTGGCAACGTAAAGGCGGAGGGGTTTTCTGGCTCATGTTTTAGAAGCTGCAGTCCCTGTGTTGTTGGTGACTTGGTGGAAGGCCCTGGGTAGAGAAAAGCTGCTCAAGGTGTGGCAGCCAAGACGCAGAGAAAGAAGGCCGGAGTGGCGGGAGATGAACCTTCCAGGCCACACCCAGTGACCTGCATCTTCTGACAGACCCTGCCTCCTGACAGCAAATCACTTGTTAGCCACGTAATCTCATCACCTTCCCAGAGCCCCACCTAGGAGCACATGGGCTCATGGGGGACTTGTAGATATAAACCGCGATGCAACCCAATAAACTAGGAATGATTGTCGTGGTTGTACAGCTAAGGAAGCAGCACTGTGTATACAGTTCTTTGCCCCTAGTTGGTGAAGCAGGGATGTTCCTTGTCTTATTCACAAGCCCGTCAATCAGTGTTTGAAGAACTAACCTCACATTTCTTTATGCTCTTACAAAGAATCCATAGAACCCTTTTGGTAAAGTTTTGGGGGCAGTTTGGTGTTAAAATTGAATTGGTTAAATGAACGAATTCATCTAGCTCTTCTTGGTATGCCTAGGAGGCAGAGGGAGACAAAGATTGTTTTGAAATCCAGTAAGAAACAAACAGGTACTCTTAGGAAACTGGCAGAAGAGCTTTCTTTCACAACAGTCGAATTTATTGGTGGTGTTTCTACACAGAGCTTGGCAATAAGCAGATTCGTCTTAACATAGTTTTGGTTCAGTTGTTTGGAGGTTTTTGCTTCTAGTACAATTTTGAAAATAGGAAAGTGGCCTCAGTCTCCATCAGAAACATTCATCTCCTACCTTTTCACTCTTACAAGGGGACCGTAAACCATCAGCGAGGCTGCAGCCCTGGCAACCGCTTTCCAAACTGAGTGGTCAGTCACCTCTCACCAGTTACGTCTCCAAATTGACAACATATCGCATATAAGAGAAGGTCAGGCGGTATCTGTCACTCAACACGTATAGAACACCTCCTCCTCACACAGTTCATTCTTTGCTCTGACCTACAGCTTCCTAATGCATATCAATGATTCAACTTTTTTAGCTCTTATTTAACTCAAGTGTGAAATAACGCTGAAAGATTAGATGTAGGCCTAATACTATATCTTTATCGTTTTTCTCTGTAAATTGTACACTAATAGAAAATAGCATTCCTTCTTAAACTACAAAAAGGGGTAAAGAGAGTCTGTAAGAAAATTAAGTCAGAACTGTCTTAATTTACAGTACTCAGAAAAGCATGTCTACCTGTGGCTTAAATTGAATTTGAAACTGAAAGGTTGATCATTGTCTTTCTTAGGTTCCACTGAAGGTTGTTCTTTTAAGAGAGTTCTGGAAGTGATTTGCAATGACCTTTGTCATCCCTCTCTCATTCTTTTCTATCCAGTTTTTTTCATACTGTAGATATCCTTCCCTTTGGCTGACGGATCCCTTGCCTTTAATGGGGAGTCAACCTTCAAGACCTTAGGTCAACGAAAATGAGTTAAGATACGTCCTTAAGTGACAAACATTAGTTTTCTTAATACATATGTAGAATGATGGTGCTCATGTATTTTTTAGATAATTTTTATTTTAAAGAGAATTTTAGAAAAAGTAAACATGATAAAGAATTTCAAAACAAAGTGACAGGAAATTAACAGTGGTTATTATGTTGCATATTGTTATCTTCAAAGTAGTTGCTCAGATTACCAGAAATAGGCATGCAAGATTGATCAAACAATGTAAACACTGTTCCTTTCAATGAACTAATAGAAATTAGTAGTACCATTATCTTAGCTATTATATCTACATATATTCCTTCTTACCTCCTTTCCCCCTTTCCAGTTGTTCAGGATAAATATTCTAGAAACTGTATTACACAAGGAATCAACAATAGCTAGTTCTTGATATTCAAAGAGGATTACTGAGCCAGGTGCAGTGGCACATGCCTGTGATCCCAGGTACTCTGAGCGAGTAGGCTGAGGCAGGAAAATTGCAAGTTTGAGGTCATCACATCAGCGTAGCAAAACTCTATCTCAAAGTAAAGAGGGCTAAGGATATATTTCAGTGGTAGAATCCTTGTGCAAAACCCTGGTTTCAATTCCCAGCATGAAAAAATAAAAATAAGAAAAAGAGGGTTATTGAAATGCCTTTTTGATTGTAGCAAACCACTGTTTATGTGATAAATTTTCCCCATCTTGGTACGACTGGTATTAGATCAGATTTCCCCAAAGTAATGGGTAGTTACTGCTTTTGCTGTTCCAGTTGCAGAAATTATACAGCTTTGAAGAATGGCGGATGAACGGAAAGATGAAGCCAAGGCGCCACACTGGAGCTCAGCACAGTTAACCGAGGCACCTACACACCCACATCCACCGGAAATCAAGGACCAAGCTGGGGCAGGGGAGGGACTTGTCCGAAGCGCCAATGGCTTCCCATACAGAGAGGATGAAGACGGGCCACAGGGCCCCTACTCAGATACCAAAGAGAACGGGATCAACGGAGAGCTGAGCTCAGCTGACAGAGAAACGGCAGGTAACTAAGGGCCCGCTGTTGCTACTGCTTGCTTTGTGCTTTGGAGTCAGTTTAGTCTGAAAGTGCATTACTTTACCATGCTTATTGTCTTTCACTAGGGCCAGGGCTGAAATTCCAGTTGGTCAGGAGAACTAGACACCAAAGAGAGGAAAAAACATGGTCACTAATCTGACTTTCCCCTAAACTGGTTGTATTCTCCATTTGATTTCCCTGTTTAATTTTTATTGCTTGGATTTGTACAGATAAATCGCTCTGTGTGTGTTTTGCTAGAAATTATCAGCATTTTAATCTATTAATCAAAACTTCAGAGTTTTTGTGACAGTGGACCTAATTTAATGATTGATTAGAAATCTATTTACTTTACAGAAAGATATGTAAAATCCATCTCCACAACCTCCAAAAGAAAAAGAAAAACACAAAGAAAACAAACATACATGCACAGATATAGGAACCATTTCAGACTTTCTCAGACAGCTATTTAAAAGTCATGTACAAGTGCTGGAATGAGGACATAATTTTGCTTACTTTTTTTTCAAAATATGACGTCTGTCAGCAATTTCCTTTACTCTATCACTGATTATATTATCTCTAGTGGCAGTTATTATGGGACATTAATGGCATGGACTAGCCATTAACTAACCATCATGAACTAGTCTCCCCTCTTTTATCTTTCACCATCATTTTCCTTTATAATTCAGAACTTAACATATTTAAACTCATTAACTTGCATACAACTTCCCACCCAAAAGAGGGAGCAAATTATAAGAAGAAAAGCTATGCTGCCTCCAAAATCACTACTTCCTTGTTAGAAGATTAGTTTTCTATACCTCATCAATTAGTCTGAAACGCTTATGGACAGTACATTCTATTTAAAAATACATTAAGGTGTGTAAAAGTAGTAGAGTGTCCTTAACATGAGAAAAGTCCTGAATTTCATCCCTAGCGCCAACCTCTCCCCCATAAGCATACACAAAACAGGTACACACGTATGCATATGCAAATTTTAATATGGACTATGGAAAGCATTTGAGATGACAGGAGAAAGTGCATGAGTACACAGGGAAATTTTTAAAACTCTACTCACACAAAACACCACTGTGGAGAATTTTCTATTTTTAATGATTGATTAGAAATCTATTTACTTTACAGAAAGGTATGTAAAATCCATCTCCACAACCTCCGAAAGAAAAAGAAAAAAACAAAGCAAACAAATATACATGCACAGATATAGTAAAAGTGCCATGTTACATGAAAAGTGCCATGTTAGCTTCTGTGCAGCTTTCTGTGTACAAGAAATGGGCCCTGAACTTCATGGATCAGGTGCTGCAATAGCACACGAGACCCGTGCAGGAAGTGAATTCAAATACAAAGAACAATGTTGCCGGGTCAAATGAGAAGTATAGAAAGGCAGATTTGAAGAGGGATTGTTTATACTAAAAGCCAATATTCTCAAATTGTGCATAGATACCTCCTGCAGTGGCAATCAAGCTTAGAGCTACACGAGATGTTTTAAATATTTAAGAAGAACACCATAGACAACCTCTGTCTAGCGCTACCTGAGCCATTAACTCAAGAAGACTCACATCTTCAATGGTAGATGACACTATATTCCTTTTGAAGATGACATATCTTTGAAAGCTGAATTTAAAGCAGTTTCTCTGATAAAAAGCATGTACCTTGCAGAAATGCATACAGAACAGGACAGGAAGGTGGCAGCGTCCAATATGATTCAGGGAACTCGGAAGCTATACACAGCCTTATACAGCTTATTGGCGAGAAAAACTATAGTTAAGAATGTAACTAAAATATTTTCTTACCATGAGTAGTAAACAAGTAATAGCTCCAATTTACTGGGTCAATGGTGGTGCAATGAGGCAATGAGGATAACAGGTACTCTTGATCCAGGAATATTTTGCTACAGCTGGGCGTAACATAACTTGAGGAGGGTGGGGCTCACATGTCAGGAGCATTAACTAAGAGGATTTTGAACGAGTCAAGGCTTGAGCAGTTGAGGGCACATTAGAGTACAACAGTTAAGATGAGCAAAGTCAGTAACGTAGTAGACCAAGATTCTCCACATCATCATACCCAGTTGCACCAGCCTTACGTCTCTGGTCTTCAATAAATGTGTATTGAGTGAGGGAATGAATGAATATCTGAATGCGAAAAGATGAAGGTGCTTTTCAAATTAATGAGAAAATGACTTAAAAATCTAGCTGTGTCTCTTGGAAAGGCATCATTTAATGCTCACTATCTGTGGTACTTGCCTGGGAGAGCAGTGGAGAACATCGCTTACTGTTCCATTTGTTCCGTGATCTTAATGAAGTATTTAGGAGCATCAGAAAAATGTACTTGTGGGGTCAGCCTGTCCTTGCCAGCTTCTTTGAGAAAATAAATCAGAAAGAGACTAGCAGATGTTTCTTTTATGTGATGGTTTCAGGAGTGTTCTGAGTTAATTTTGAAGTCAGCTCAACTTGTATCAGTGAGTCTTATATTATCCTGGGGAGATTGATTGCAGAGGTTTTATGCGTATGTTCATAGTGACAGAGGTGGTAAATAATAAGCTGTTAGCTACCACTGTGGTATTTTCAGTCCAAGCTATACTATAATTTAAAACTAACTCTCTCTCCAAAATAACAGGTCATGTATTGAAACCGTAACATATTTGAATGTGGAAAGCTGTAAGTAAAGGAAAATGTAAAATTTTTGTTTCCTCATACATACAAAGAATATTTCAATGATAAGTTCATGTGCAATTAAATTTCTCTCCAGAACACTAGCTTAATAAATGATAACTTTTATCATTGCTAATTTATGGATAACTAACAAATTATGTGATGAAAATCATCTCCAGTAATAGAGATGCTCTTAAATCTCAAATATGGGCTTTTAAAATGCTATTCTTTGATGATGGAGACTGTGGATATGGGCTGGTGATATATTTTGAGATCCTTGTTTGTTTTAAGGAGCATAAAGAATTTATACACCTGCTTATTTTTTATCATTCAGATACAATTCATCAGTGTGTTGAAGTTTTTCCCTGTAAAAGGTAATCCTGGCTGGGCATGGTGCTACATGCTTATGGTCCCAGCTCCTTGGGAGACTGAGATAGAAGAATCACCTGAGCCCATAAGTTCAAGACTAACCTGAGCAACATAGCAAGACCCTGACTCAGAAAAATAAACAATCATGACAACAAACCAATGAATAAAGAAAAATATGCCTTAAAACAGTTCACATGAAGCATTTCTCAGGGACATGGAGTCCTCAGCTCTGTGTCATGCTTGAATCCCCAAATTTCTATTTTCCTTTCTTCCATAGTTCTTTCTTCATTTTTAGACATAAATTTTCTGTAAAATTATTTCTTTTCATTCATCTCTATGAACAGGATTTTGTAATCAATGGCTTGAATCCATCAACTCTTCCATCCCTTCCTTCCCTCAAGATTGGGCCTACTTCAACCAAAGCTCTTATGTTATTCTCCTTAGCCCACCCTTTGTAGAGTTCATTTTCACTTACAGGTTATAATAATTTCTAAAAATGACATTCCCTAGTAAAATTATCTTTTGATCTTCTGCACTAAGACCAAGGGCTGGGAGAATAGGGAATATTAGAAGGAAATAATATTTTAAATTACACTTCTTTACAAGATACTTGTCAAGGTTTTATCTCCTTCCATACAGTTTAAAGCCAGTCTATAGAAAGATAGGTAAAATTATTTTCTCAACTGTAATCTTTGATATTTCATTTTTTTCCTCATCACTAAAGTGTTATTGTTCAAAACTATGCTATAGAACCGTAAAAAAAAATAGAAATGAGTTGGTATTGAGAATCTAACCTCTAAAGAAAGCTCCTATTATATTAAGATGGTAGCAAAATTTTTAAATTGTTTTTTCAAATGTGAATAAGAAAGGTAATGACTTATGACAATCTCTTCCTTCTTCTCTTTTCCACTTTGTTGAGCAAAGCAAAGGAATGCATTTTGGTTCCTACAAATGTCCCACTCAGTGACAAATGAGTACTTCATCCTTGTGCTTATTACCCTAGAGCAGGGTCCAAACTCATGTTAGACTTCGTATCAAAATAACATAGCGTCCCTTGTGGTAGGACAGAAGGGCTGATGTGCAAACTCCGTACTCCTCTGACAGGAAACTCATTTGAGAAAGTGGCAAAGTGAAAAAAAGTAATCTTTCAAGTGGCCTTTTAAGGCCATGAAGAGCAGTTAGTTTCTGTAACCTTGTACATGTGACTTGGCAGGGCAGCTTGTGTTTGCATCATTTACTCCTCCATTACCTATATATCAGATTCTAGCCTGCGTCTGTTCATGGGATCATCAGCCACCACCAGTGTCTACAGAGTAGTAGTTTCCTGATTCTTAACCTGTTCTAAAAAAGTGCCATCACTTCAGCACTAGTTGTTTTACATCAATAGAGAGGAAAAGATTTTCTGATTCTCTATTTGTCCCTCAACAACTGCTTAAAGAGATATTGTGAAAATAGTCTGTCCTCAATATCAATAGGTTCCACAACCATAGGTAAAATCAATTGTGGATCAAAAATATTTGGAAAAAGTACTGCACTTATATTGAAAATGTACAGACTTTTGTCATTATTCTGTAAACAATGCAGTATAACAATTGTATACCGTGCACTTGCATTGTGTTAGGTATTCTATGCAATCTAGACATCATTAGAATTATATAGAAAGATGTACACAGGTTCTATGCAAATAGTATGCCATTTTATATAGGGGATTTGGATATCCACAGATATCCATAATAAAAGGGATCCCTTATATCCCAAATTCCGTAATACCTCTTTATTTTGGTACCAGTTATCAGTATCTTCATTAACAAATAAGAAGGTTAAGGCAGTGAATGGTTAAATGACTTGCCCAAGGTTGCACAGAAATAAAATTGGGAGCTACATTATGAAGATTGTGCTCAGGAATCCAGTATGATTCCTCTTCCTGTGGAACTGTCCCCCAAGCAAGAAGCAATG